GGAGGTTAAGAATAGTATGGGAAATGGAGAAACCAAAGAACTTATATGCACGACCCATGGACATGAACTAAGGAGGGATTGCTAGAGGGAATAGGGGGTGCTGGGTGGAGGGGGGCAAAGGAGGAAAAATTGGAACTGTAATAGCATAATCAATAAGATATTAAAAATGATACAAATCATTAAAATCGAGACTGAACAGGGAATGCTGCTAGAGATACTGCAGCCCTTAAGAGAACAGGGCCCATTATGAAAAACTGTGCTCATAAACTTGGTATCTGAAAAACACATGGGCCAATTTCTCAAAACCCACAATTACCAAAATCCAATAAAGATGAAACAGACAACCTGAATCATCTTTAACGATTAAAGAAACTAAATTTTGGCTCTGGGTAGCTCCATTGGTTAGAGTGTCATCCTGATATGCCAAGGTTGCAGGTTTGATTGCTAGTCAGGGCACATATGAGAATCAACCAATGAATGCATAAATAAGTGAAACAACCAATCTCTCTCTCTCTCAAAGTAATAAATTTTAAAAAGATAAAATAAATTTTAGAACCTCCCCCCAACTAGCATTTTTAACAAACTAACAAACTTAGACACAAAATCCTCAACAAAATATTAACAAATCTAATCCAGCAATGCACAAAAAATCCCACACTCGTCGCAGGTTCGATTCCCAGCCAAGGCACAGGCCTGGGTTGCAGGCCATGGCCCCCAGCAACCGCACATTGATGTTTCTCTCTCTCTCTCTTTCTCCCTCCCTTCCCTCTCTAAAAATAAATAAAATATTTTTAAAAAGCTTTAAAAAAAAGAGAGAGCTTCTTTAAAAAAAAAAAAAGAACAATAAAAAAAATCCCACACTCTAGCCAAGTGGGATCTACTCCAGGGGTTCAAGTCTGGTTCAACATCCAAAAATCAGTTAGTGCAATCCGTCACGCCCACGGCCTAAAGGAGAAAATGAAAACCATGTGATCACATCCACTGACACACGAAATCATTTGACAAAACCCAACACTCATTTGTGACAGAAACTCTCAGCAAACCAGGAACAGAGAGGAGCTTCTTTGGTGTGGTAATAAAGATCTGCGAAACACCACAGCCGGCGCCGTATGCCATGATGAAAACCTGAGTCCCGCTCTCTGAGATCAGGCAGGCAGGGTGCCCACTCTCACCACCGGCGCTCAACACAGGCCTGCAGGTGCTAGCCATTCGGTGAGACAAGAGGAAGGCATAAAGGCTGCAAAGGAAGAAATAAAAGGGTTCCTCTTCACAGATAAACAGGATTGTCTAGACGGAAAACACCGCACCGTGGGCCTGCAATAAGTGAGTTTACAAAGGTTTCAGAAGAGAAAATCAACACCCAAAAACAAAGCGCACTCCGACACGCTGAGAGTGAACACACAGAACCTGGGGTTAAAACACACGGTGCATTCACCATCGCATCGCCACTGAGAGTCACTGCAAACAAAGGGAAATTCTTTTAGGTGTAAACCTGACACATGTATGGGATCTATATGCTAAAACCTACAAAGTGCTAATGAAAGAAATACAACAGGACCTGAATAAATGGAAAAACAGCCTACCTGACCAAGGCAGCTCAGCTGGCTGGGCATCCCCCCTGCAAACCAAAAGGTTGCTGGTTTGATTCCCAGCCAGGACACATGCCTAGGTTGCCAGGTCCCCAGCTGGGCATGTGCAAGAGGCAACCAACAGTCTCTCTCACATAGAAATTTCTCTCCCTCTTTTTTTCCCTCCCTTCTCCTCTCTCTAAAAATCAATACATGAAATCCTTAAAAAATAAAATAAATAAATGGAAAAACATACAAAATTCATGAACTGGAAGATTCAACATGGTAAACGTCAATTATCCCCAAACTAATCTATAGGTTTAATATTTTCTTATCAAAATTCCAGCAAGGTTATTGTTTTTTGTTTTTCCTAAGACAACTCATTCTAAAATTTATATGGAAAGGCTGTAAAGACAGGCCCAACTGGCTTCTGACAAAGGTGCAGTACTGGACACCTAGAAGCAAAAATAAATAACCTCAACCTAAACTTCACACTTTATATAAAAATTAATTCAAAATGAACTACAGACTTAAATGTCACATGTAAAACTATAAAACTTCTAGAAAAAAATAAAGATTTTTAGATGACTGCAAAAGCACAACTCATAAAAGGAAAAAAATCAATAAATTGAACCTCATCCAAACTTACAAATCCTGCTCTTCAAATGACCCTGTTAAAAGGCTGAAAAGATACAAACTGGGAGAAAAACGGCAAACCACAATTCTGACAAAGGACTTGCACACGGAAGGCATCCAGCACACAGAACTCCACAGTAAACACAAACACCCTAAGCAGAAGGTGGGCGAGAGCCGAGAATGGACACTGTGCCGAGGAGGTGGCACCCACGGTAGGATGGCCAGGGCAAGGCTTTCGTCACCAGCTGCCACTGGAGAGATGCAAAGGAAAACCACAAGAGATGTTACCACCCCCATCAGAGTGGCTAAAATAGAAATGAGAGATGACGTCAAATGCACTGCAGAATGACAGGAATGGGACCGGGGTGGTGTGTCTGGTGGGAAGGCGGGGAAGTACAGCCACTTGGGGGAAGAGTATGGCAGCTTCTTACCTAATACGTGCTTCCATAGCAACCCCCAAATTTTGCTCCGGAACACTCATCCCAGGGACATGGAAACTCACACAAAAACCTCTCTGTGAATGTTCACAGTCACTTTAAGTATAATAGCCAAAACCTGGACACAATTTGCTTCACCAAACTGTGGTATATCCAAGCCATGGACTGCTCCTGAGCATTAAAAAGGAGTTAACGCTGATACAACAACTTGGAAGGGTCTCAAGGGGATACGTCAGGTTATGTACCACGTGACTCCACTAATATAGCACCCTGAAATGACAAAACCGCAGCGTGCGGGACAGAGCAGTGGCGGCCGGGGGCCAGGCAGGGTTTGTAGCAGAGGGAGCACAGCGACTACAGAGGAACAGCACAAGGGGTCCTTGTGACACAAGTCAAGCGTTCTGCACCTTGATGTGGCCAGTAGTCACCTGACTTTGCACAGAAGTGAATACGTGTGAACAAGTACAAGTCAAACTAGGGGAATCTGAGTAAAGTCACTGGATTGTTTCAATGTCAATATCCTGGCTGTGCCTGGCTGGTGTGGCTCAGTGGACTGAGCATGTGCCTGCAAACCAAAGGGTCACTGGTTCAATTCCGTCAGCGCACATGCCTGAGTTGTGCTGGTCCCCAGTAGGGGGTGTGTGAGAGGCAACCACACACTGATGTTTTTCTTCCTCTCTCCTTGCTTTCCCCTCTCTCCAAAAATAAATAAGTAACATCTTAAAGAAACACATCCTGGCTGTGACATTCACCACAGTCCTGCAAGATTTTACCACTGGGGAGACATGGGCAGAGGGTGTGTGAGGTCTTACTTCTTACAGATGCACGTGAATCTACAATGACCTCAACTTAAAGAGTTTAACAAATGTGAGAGACTGGCACTCCTGACAACAGTGTGTGTTGCCTGGACGTGATCATGAAGACACAGCAGACATCAGGGGAACTCAAACTGAAAGCATCGGAACTGTAACTCTTCCAAAGTGTTGATGTCACAACACAGGGAAAGAGACAGGGCCAGCGCATGCAGCACTTGAGCTGATGGAACAGCCCGGTGAGTCTTTGCTACGAAGGACATGCTGAGATAGTTTACGAAGCCTAGGAGAGGTCTGTAGATCAGAGAGTGGCGCTATATTAGAAAATGCATAATATGGGGTTTAAGGACAGAGAGCACTGTATCACAAACTGACTCTCAAATGGTTAAAAGATATACACACATGGAAGAGGAAATATGGTGAAATGTTTATAGCTGAAGAATCTGGGTAAGGGGAATACTTTATACTGTTCTTGCAATTTCTAAGTCTGAAATTATAAGTAGTACAAATTAAAATGAAAAATTTAAAGGGGTACAAGACACTGCACAGAAGCTGGTACACAGAAGTTCAATAAAGTATTTTATTCCAGTTTCAGATGCAGAAACAAGTTGGGAAGCTGGATGAACTGTCAGGCGGAACACGGCAAACTGGTGGTAGGTCAGGAGCTGACTCAGCCCCGCTGTCTGCTGCGCAGCAAACATAGCCTGTGCCCCTTCCACCAGCATGAGGGGGGTGAACACTTGTCCCCCACCCCAGGGGCTTGGAGGGGCTGTTTAAGGAGAGGATGGCCGAACACAAACCAGCTTCAAACTACTTACTCTCCAAGCAAGTCACGTCTTAGCTGCCCAGAAGGAAAGCCCAGGACCCTGCAGGGGCCTCGGGCCTGGATCTCAGCCCCTCAGGGGGATATTCTCTCTGCAGCGCATCGAACAACCAGGTAGCAAACCAACTGCCTGAAGCCCGCCTGTAGGTGCGACAGCCAGCACCCCGTCCTTCCTGTGTCTTCACTCACATGCCCCCGAAGCCCACTGAGACGTGGGCTGGGGCTGGGCCACAGAATCTCAGTTCTTCTGCTGGCCCTGACCCCCTCAGCATCACCCCACAGCCACGCTTAGGTAGGACAATTTATTTTTAATGGACTTACTTCTTCTGAATAGATGATACCTGGTTCAAAATTCTCAGGAAACAAAAGGGTGTGCAACGAGAAGTTTCCTCCTCCACGTTCCAGTCCTTCCCACTGACACCCAGTGCTGCCAGTGTGAAAATGCGGCTTTCTGCACTTCTCTCAGGTACCAGAATTAGCTCGATTGTTATATGATATTAAGCTGAACATCCACCTAGAACACCCCCACGTGACCCCTATAATTTAGTAATTTCCCCATGCATTTAAAATATCCTTAAACTACTCATGTAGATAGGTTTACAACATTAAAGTAACTGAAGGTGAAAACGTTCAGCAACATGAAAATACACCTGTGCTGTGCCAGGCTGCAGAGGCCCCGCGCCCCACGGCGGCGTGCACTAGCCCCCAGAGCACCGCCGCTCACCTGGTTCCTGTCCCTCGCATTTGTGTATCTGATCTTTTGGATGAAGTAGAATATGAGCCACGCCGAGGAGATGATCATCAGAACAATGAAGGATATGGACACGAAGACGAGGGAGCCTCGGCTGAAGTTCTTTGGTGGCATCCGAGCCCCGACGGCGATCGTCATCTGCACAGAGATGTTTTTCTCCAGGTAACTCAGAATGTCCTTGCCCCTCAGCTCCGTGATCATCACGGCAATGATGTCCCCTGTGCCTGCAACATAAAGCAAACACGTACACTCGAGTGCCGCTGAAAACTCACAGGAGACCAAGCATTGAAAACTGCACTGCGGTTTCTGTGGACGGCAAGCGCTCAAAGACCCAGATCTCCGAACAAAGTGGTGCTGGGGGCAGCCAGGGCATGATAGGGTGGCTGTGTCAACAGCCACAGCGACTCATGTTACAACTCTATTTTAAAGAAATTACCAAACCCAGTCAAATGTGATAACAGTCCAGAACACTGCCTCATGCAGCAAGAAACACGTGATACAATCGTGGCAGGTTCTCCGTGTAAAACACCTTCCACCTTAAAAGCCTCTTTAGAAAGTCCCAACTCCTTAAGAAAAGGAGAAAAGTGCAGTTATTTACACATAGAAATCAGTACCTTTTACGCCAACCATTCTCAGGAACACTCGTGCAACCCCTGCTGTGTGCAGAATAGCACCTGGGCGCGTGGCACAGCACTGAGCGCCGGGATGCAGAGCGGACGGACGACAGACTTAGCGATGGCGAGGTGCCGAATGGCAACAGATGAGCCAGGCCTATGTCCAGACCTGACTGGAGGGAGCTTCCTCTCCGGTTTACCCCTGAACCTGCTGGAAACCACACTCCTCCTGAGACAGACTCAGCCTTCGACACTCTGGGTGATCGGGCACCCAAAGGCTTCCCGTTCTCATGGCTGCGCTGAAGCTCTGCCACCAGCAGCCGACTGCACTTAATCATGAGGATGTTCTGAGGGCGCACCTTTCCTGTCCACCTGCTCCCAGGCGGGTGGTAATGCAGGAAAGGCAAGCGACTCTCCAAGGCAGAGCAGGAAATTGCAGCCCGCTCCTCCTCCTCTCTCACTCTCCTTTAAGGAAACAGAGAAGGTTTTAGCCACCACACCAGCTGCCAGTGGCCATCCTTCATCAGCGGGGGCCACCTGGCAACCTGCACCTCCCACCATCTGACTTCTTCAAAGAGTCCCAGACACTCTGGGCGTTGGAGGAAGGAGGACATTTTACTTGGGGAAGAGAAAGTTAGAAACCACTTATTCAAATTTGAATAAGGTTTGTGTGTATAAATGCAGACCACCAAGACAAAATAAACAAACCCCTCAAAACTTGACCTTTTTAAAAGGCTTCTTTGATAAATACCACCAAGAAATATTCGGTTTGCATGTTTCATTGTCGTATTTGTAACTAAAGGGACTGTCCTGGCATCACATGCAGCCAACGAGTGCAGGCAATGGAGGACAAACTCAGTCATTTACAGTGGTTTCGTGAAAAATTTAACCCCATATGCTTTTGTGTTACCTTATTCAAAATTGTGCCTTTATCAGTCACTTTATCAGAATAGCAATTTATCAGAACACAGATTAAAACCCAAAAACAAAACAAAAACTGTAAATTTAAAGCAAGCAACAAAGTTAACGTCTGTTTTTCTGAAAGAAAAGCTCTGATGATGAAGTTAGAGGACATTGCAGTACTCTGTGGAAGCACTTAAACTTGCACCGAGAAGCCCAGGTCTGAGCTGTCCAATGTTGTCCAGCAGGCAGTGGCGAGTGGCACGAGGTGCCGGCCTGGCTATAAAGTAACTGAGACGGATCCCACACTCGACACATGACGATCAGTCTCATTGCTTTATAACCACACCAGGCACAAACACGGCTCAGAAAGCAGTCTGCGGCTCCCTCCTGAAGACACAAGCTGGAAGAGGAGCAGCTGGGGGAGTGGACCCCGTTGTCTCCTTCACTCAAAAGACGCTAAATGTGCTCCGCCTACTTTCAACTGGGAAGCTGTGTGGGAAAAGAAGTGTTTAATTATTTCCATCATCCATCCAGCAGCATTTATTGAGCACATACTATGTCCAAGGCTCCTGAACACTCGCTCACCTTTCAAAGAGAGTGGAAAATTACCTGCGGTGAAGTAAAAAATACATTTATCGCTGCCCCTGGCTCCTGGCACAGGTCTCCTAAGTCCCTTGGCATTTCCTGGGCAACAGGAGAGTCTTTGGTTCTAATGAGGCCTCTTCTCGTGGTGGCTGGTCACCAGTAAAAGCAAGCCAGGAGGAGAAGCTCTCACCCGCATCCAACCCCCACGCTCTGGGGTGGGGTGAGGTGGGGCAGCTCTGCCCCAGACATGTCCTCACAGCAGGGACAGGAGAGCTGTGGGCTATGCAGGGAGGGCAGGTGTCAGAGAGCCCTTCCTCCACACTCTGTCCAGTGTGTGTTCACTGGGCTGGTTGTCCATACCCTTCATTACTTCCTTTCTAGTAAACCAGTAGATGTGATTCCTTGAACTCTGTGAGCCGTCCCAACGAGCTTTTGAACCTGGGAGGGGGTTGTGGAAACCTCAGTTTAGAGCCAGCTGGTCGGAAGTACAGGTGACAACCTGGGACTTGGGAAGGCTTATGGAGTGGGGGGTGGGGGGGTAGAGGAGCCCTTACCCCACAGGATCGGATGCCAATTCCAAGTAGTGCCAGGATCCAGCTGAATAACAGGATGCCCAGCTGGTGCTGAGAATTGCTTGGTATTGAGAACCCCCCACACATTTGGTGACCGAAGTGTCAGAAGCCATGTGCTGTGTGAGTAGTAGCACAGACACACGGAGGAGTGTTTTTTTCCTTCGCACTTGTTCTTCATCGCATGAAAACTCTACCCTCAGAAGGCAAAAGGGACTCTTAAAGATGTTAGCGTAGGTGGCTAGATGTTAATAAAGGAAGAGAGCAAAGGGAGCCAGACATCAACGAGCCCAGTCCAGCAGGGAGCTGAGTGGGACACAGAGTCCACTTCACCGAGCAGCTACAGCTTCACGCACACAGAGCAGCCACTGCGTCCTCCGCTCGAGGGCTTAGTCCCCGAGGTGGGCAGGATGTCACGGGTCAGCAGCTGAGATTGTCAGGGGAGGAGCAGGAACAGCAGCAGAAATTCCCTTGCTGGACGTACATGCCGCAGAAGCCCAGATGGAGACCATAAAGGGAAGGTGTCTGGTCTGGGGAAAGACTGCGTGGGTTGGGGGTGGGGAGCCAGCATAAGCCTGAGACGGACTGGGAAGGTGACTGGTCAGTCTGAAAGAGCACCTGGACCTTCCCAAGCCTGAGGTGATGTGATCAGGCCTCTTGCACAGTAATGCTCAGGCTCGCCCATCCTCTCCCTGTAGCAGCTGGGTTGGGCCTCACAGCCTCCGGGCCCCAAGCACAGGCTCCACGGGAGGCCTGGGTATTGAACACGACAGTGCAACACTGGCTGGAATACAGCTGGGAACAGACTATGCTAGCCGGGTAGGGACAGAGGCTGGACATCCCTCACAGCGGGATGGATGGGGACAGGACCCCAGGAGGGTGGTGGGTGTAGTTTTCTATTTCTATCCCAGTAAATCTTACTGCTGCATCTCATCCTCCCATGTGTGGGTCCCCCAAATACTTTTCCTGTACTCTGTCTGTGAAGGGATGCCAGTCCCACTGGGACCGGAGGGTCTAGAGAGAGCAGTTGGACTCAGGCAGCCTTGTGGCACCAGTGCACAGGAGGAGGCGGGCAGAGGGACAGGGAGGGAGGCTAAGGCACTGCAGGGCGAGCAAGTGAAGATAATTCCAGTGGTTCATCGGAATATCAGCAAAGGCACTAGCTCTTACTCACTTCAGTTGTAAATCCCTCAGGAATCTGAAAAGAGGGGACCCCTTCTAGAAGAGAAGCCCCCCAACTCTACTGATTTCAGGAGAGGTCTGTGGACCTCACTCCTCACCCTTGATGTTGGTCTGGCCTCTGAGGCTCTGATTTAAGGATGCCTCAGACGCCTGATTTTTAAAGATTTGCAAAGACTTGGACCAGCTCCTGGGGATACTAATGCCAGAGAAAACATAAGTTTCAGGTTAAAACTAGGGCTAGATCAAGTAGTGACTGATAAGCATTAAGGACTAATTAGACTGTAATGGGGTAAACATTCGAGGAGAGAGGACAAATATTTGCCCAACTACCCCCACTCTTGCGTTCCTGCTACCAAGTCACAGAGGCAGCTGCCGCATCCTGGGCGTCTCACCATGCCCGCAGCCAGGATGACTTTACCGGAGACGACAATTAGGTGAAAGCCCAGTGTGAGCCCTGCTCTCACCATCTCCTTGAAAACATTCCCCATTATTATTCTTTATGTGTGACTGCGCACCCACTGCTGGAAGTTAACTGCTTTCACGCACCACTTAATTCTCTTCCCTTTTATTCTGAGAATTTTCAAATCCATGAAACAGTTTCAACACTATGTACTTTTTCACTTAGATTTGTCTACTGGCAACATTTTACCTTTTCTACAGGGTCTGGCAGAAGTGACTCCTGCTTCAGTGTGGTTGGTAGGGCAATAGTATGGGTGTGATAATGTATAGTTTGAATTTGAACATTTCATCTAAAATGTCATATGGTGTGCTTGAATGTGACATTGTTGTGTGACAGAATTGCACGCTGTAATAAAAGATTTTGTAATAAAAAGGGGGTGTTATGTGTGCTGGACCCTGTATTTATTTTTGTTGAACCAACTGAAAGTACACTGCAAACACCGTGACATTTCCTCCTTAAATGCTTCCGCTAACCTTCCCAGAACAAGGACACAACCTCTGACATGACACTGCTCTGTGGGACCCAGCCCCCGCCCGGACACCCCCACCCGGCCCCTCAGACTGCTCGGTGCGGCGCTGCTGCATGGCTGTCTTGCTAGTCTCTCTGGATCGAAAGCAGGTCTTCTTGGGTCACTTCTGGTCGCTCACGACCTTGACCTTTTTGAAGAGTTCAGGCCATGTTGAAACTGTCCCTCACTCTGGATCTGACCGTTCCTTCAGGATTAGATCTCAGAAGTAAACATTTCTGGTGGGAATGCCACACTGGTGGCGCTCTGTCCTCCGAGTGGGCACAAAGAACTCTGCCTTCACTGATGACGGCAGATACCGACTGGCGAGTCTCCTACCTGCCAGATCTCTCCACTGCAGACAAGTGCTTCCCTCTTTCTAATTAATAAACAATCTTCGGGGTGA